TATAATTTTCTATAAAATTTTAAAAAATAATTTTAAAAAATTATTAAATACATAAACATCTAAAATTAGTGCGGTGAAAAAAAAAACTTCGATCCGCAATTACAAACGCAGCCGAAATGTCGAGCAGCTGCCATCTTCACGACAAGACTCACTTTAGTTCGGTTCTGGCAGTCAGCACAGCACCGTACAGGAGGGTAGGGTCGGAAGCTTCTTCACCACCGCCACCGATTCTTGCTGTTCTTGTGACACCACGAAATGAGCTGCTGCAGCAACATCTCCTTTAATCGTCTCTTCTCACCGGGACCATCTTCCTTCATCTCCTCCTCTAAACCATGCCGGTTGAGATCCAATAATTTTCGGATATTTTTCTATTCTAATAGCAGGAGGAAGCAAAAATCTTATTCATCCCAGTCATGATCGCGGCAGAAAGCTTCTTCCCTCAGGATATGCCGGGGAGTTCAGGCGGAGGCTGGTTCCGGAATGACGGCGGCGGCGGCGGCAATGGAGGGTTCAAAAGTGGGGAAGAGGACTGATTTGAAGAAAATCACGATCCTGGGGCGGGACCGATTGTGATTCGGCAGGCGTGTGAGTTCGACTATTCTGGCACGCAAGCAATGAAGAACAATGGAATCAAGACCCCACCTTCTGGTATATAGGGAATACTTTAGATAAATGCATTGGGATTGCTAATGAGATTGGGAAGTTTCCTTTGATCATAAGGCTGGCACTGGTGGTGACATTGCATATAACAAGGAGGAGTTTGAGGACATTTGTAAAGCGGGATTGGCTGGGAGCTGAACTTCACTGGTTCTGGTGGAGAAATCTTTGTTGGGGTGGAAAGAATATGAGCTTGAGGTGATGAGGTATTTGGCTGATAATGTTGTGATTATATGTTCTATTGAGAATATTGATCCAATGGGGGTGCATACAGGGGATTCTATTACAGTGACACCGGCGCAGACACTAACAGATAAGGAGTATCAGAGGCTGCGTGATTGTTCAATTAAGATTATCGAGGAGATTGGAGTGGAGTGTGGGGCTCCAATGTTCAGTTTGCACTTAATCCTGTGGATGGAGAGGTGATGGTGATTGAGATGAACCCTAGGGTCTCAAGGTCCTCTGCTTTGGCTTCAAAAGCTACAGGGTTTCCTATAGCTCAAATGGCTGCTACGTTATCTGTTGGATACACTTTGAATCAGATTCCGAATCCCCTGCTAGTTTTGAGCCTTCCATTGATTATGCGGTCACCAAGGTGAGAAATTCTTACTTTTGCTTGTTGGTTCAGCAATTTTGTTTCCCTCTCAGTCTAGCAAGAGAATCATCAATTATTAATCTAATTATCCCTCTGAGCAAGGAGTAGACATATTATGAATGACTTAATTAACTTAGATTTATTTAGATGCTATTTTTTTTTTCTTTGCAGATCAGTTTTTGTACGTGGCTACTAAATCCATTCTCCCCTATGTCTGTTCTTGAAGTTTTGATGTTGGTGAGCATGAACTTGCGTCCTCAACATAGTAGGATAGGAACATGCTATTTAGATTCTTCTTTCACACTTCACAGTGTCGATTTGATTGTGTTTCGTTTCGTCTCATTTATAATAATCATTTCTGGTCATGCAAAACTTGGCATTGCCAAGATTTAGTAGTATCACCAAGATGCCTATAAGCGCATAAGAATTTGCTAATGATTTATTTGACTTCATTTCATAACTATAACTCATGTATGCCATCAGCTAATGATTTATTCTAAAACTCTTTATTTACATAAATCGTGCTGCAGATCCCACGGTTTGCATTTGAGAAGTTCCCTGGTTCTCAACTAATATTGACAACCCAGATGAAGTCTGTTGGTGAAGCCATGGCTCTAGGCCCTTACATTTCAAGAATCTTCTCAGAAAGCTGTTCGGACATTGGAGTGTGGCTACTCTGGATAGGGTTGTGGAAAGGTTAAGGAGCTTGACTGGGACTGGGAACAACTTATGTACAGTCTCCGAGTCCCTAGCCCCAATTGTATTCATGCCATCTGTGTGGCAATGAAGAAAGGGATGAAAGTGGATGGGATTTATGAGCTGAGTTTGATTGACAAATGGTTCCCGACGCAGCTTAAAGAGTTGGTAGATGTGGAGCAATTTCTTCTAGCCTGAGGTTTGTCTAATTTGACAAAGCATGATTTTTATGAAGTCAAGAAAAGAGGCTTCAGTGACAAGCAGATAGCTTTTGCGGCCTAGTCATCAGAAAAAGAAGTCCAGGCAAAGCGAATATCATTGGCAATTATGCCAGTAAGATACATGTGTGCTGCAGAATTTGAGGCAAA